TGCGGCCCTGCAACTTCAAGCCAAGCATAGTCCCCCAAATTGAACGGTGCAATACCTGCATTCTCCTGCAACGTGGCTGGATGTACTGGCCAGATGCTCCTTTGCAGTAATGGCAAGAGCTGTGCCAAAGTCTTCTGTAGAGTGCAGCTGACGGACAGCCCTCAGCGAAGAGCGGTAGATGACAGAGCCAGCAGGGCTCACACAGGTAAACGAGAAACTTTCCCTAAGTTCCGTAGAGTCATTATGTAGGGCTGTTCAGAACGACTGCATAGATTCCCACTTCCTTTAAGAGCCGAGTGGCGCGGTTTCTGAGATGCAGAGTTGCTGTGGTTCATGGTTGAGGGCGTTGAGGTTCTAGGGCTTTCCGAGTTAGGTTAGCCACCAACTTTTGAGTATGGTGCCGCACCGGCTCGGCTCGTTGAGGGCCACCCCTTTGCGACGCAGCTGGCCTACTGCTAGTCGAGTCGGTAAACCTTGAACTTTTTGGGTTGTAGAAGCCTGTCACAATTCAGAAAGGTTTACCTTTGCAGCTTTCGAAGGCAGGGCTAGACAAGTAGGTCGGCGTCAAGTTTTTGTAAGCCTTGTGCACGTACGCAGGGGAGTCCGCCACGATGGTCGCAGCTTTCCGGTCAGCTATAAAGGGCGCCAATGCTTCCAAGCCCTCAGTACTGCGGGCACTGATTCACACTGATGTAGTGGATGCTGAAGCAGAGCTGTGACAAGCCCTTGGGTGGTCAACCCGAGGCGCAGAAGCCATGTTTTCGGAAAATGTCTTAATGAGACGTGTGTTCTTGAGCGACCTTAACCACCGTCTCACATTGATGGTGTCCGGCTGCTTTCATCGTGTATTGCTTGGTCGTCTGGTGAAGAATCAAGCGTCCACAGGGTTCAGGTCAAGACATTGAAGCGACAGAGGCTGCTGGACACCATATCTTCTTATATTGTCCTGAGACCAAAGCAGGGCAAGAGAATCCCACGGGGAGTCCGTCCACGCAACCGGTAGAGCTAGGGCTAGTGCTTCATCTTCACATGGTCAGGCATATTTCTAGCTTTGGGCATCATCTCTTGGCATTTTCGGTGGAGCCTCTCTGAGTGTCTAGAATGGGCATTTGGACATGTCCATCCTGTGCGGTTACGTCTGCAATGGCCGGAGGTGGTTCAAGGACTGCTAGCCCTTGTGCGATTAGTCTACAATTAATTTTACTATTACTATTACTACTACTATTACTATTACTATTACTATTACTATTACTATTACTATTACCATTACCATTACTATTACTATTACTATTACTATTACTATTACTATTACTATTACTATTACTATTACTATTACTATTACTATTACTATTACTATTACTATTACTACTACTATTACTATTACTATTATTATTACTATTACTATTACTATTACTATTACTATTACTATTACTATTACTATTACTATTACTATTACTATTACTATTACTAGTATTAGTACTAGTACTAGTACTAGTACTAGTACTAGTACTAGTACTAGTACTAGTACTAGTACTACCACTACTACGACTACGACTACTACTACTACTACTACTACTACTACTACCACTACTATTACTATTACTATTATTACTATTATTATTATTATTACTATTACTATTACTATTACCCTAGAACTCGAAACCACGTGCCATGCGACGAACTTCTGAATCCTTGTCTAGGCTTAGGTGACAGATGCTGAGCCACTGCGCGACTCGGTGGTTGAATCCGCGGGATGCTACATGCTGAGCATGTCCTCCTTTCGAATCATGCCGCCTTCTGCAGTTCTTCTTACCGAAAATGTCACAGTCAACTCTGCCCTTACGCTTGCTGACTGGAGTAATTACTTTGCTTACTTGAGGACTTGGCATTGAACTGCCCAAGGTTAGGCTAGGAGGTGCTGGTCAGGTCCCGTGAGGGGAACTACCACCACCCCCCCATCTCAGCTTTGGCACGATGTCGCGGCCTGGTTACCTCAGCAAAACATCGACCTTGAATATGATTTTGGGCTTAGCTTCCGAAATGTACCCTTACGCGAGCCTAAGCTTGGCTTAATCTACAGCTCCGGACCTTAAGCAGTATGAGACCGAGGTTGCTCGGCCTCGGCATAGTGCGTTTACTTCTCCACCCCGAAGACTGGAGAGGGGCCTGGGCACAAAGAGAGGGCTTGTTCCCACTCATGCCCTTTTAAACGATCTCCTCGCAGGGAGCCTCTCATGGCAGGTTTGTGGGATCGTTTGAGTTCTGGAAGAGCCGAGGCAAACCGTTTCTGAAGAGCTGCGCCGAGAGCAGAGCTCCGGCAGTTACGGTAATTTCGGACGTGTATGCACCGCCATCGGTTTGAGGATCTCCCTGGTGTTATCGCTATTCAAGGGTATGTTCATAGATGGTGCGATGCAACAACGAATGGGAGAAGGAACTTGCCCGTGTCTCTTTGCGAAGCCGAAGTTGGACACCGCAAAGGTGTAAAAAGGTCCGCAGCGGACGTGCAGATGATGCCCTAAAGTCCGTGTGTGTTCACTATTCCGCACGAATATCTGGTAAATTCGGCCCATCAGCCAGTTTGGCGTACTCGCCTGCTATCTCTTTTGTCGGGATAGTTCCCACGCAATCAGTGAGATGGGGTCTGGGTAGCTGAGGGAAATTCCTCTAGTGATCCTGGTCGAATCTGGGCTTTGTCCATAAACCTAATGAGTTGTATGCGGCCCCGCCTCACTAATAGTGGGCAGAAACAAAAGCGCAACATGAAGCACCAGGACAACTGCTGAAATAAAGATGCGGCGTGATCATACTTGCATAAATAGAGACAACACGAGACTGAAACAACAAGCACGCTAGTACGCTGTGACTTGCAAGCCCACTTGACACATCCTTCGCTTTGACGGATTCCGTCTGGAGATGTCTGGAGCACACATCTGGAGCTGAAAATGCCTGCGCAGCCTCTGCGCGACCCCTGTCGGCGGAAAATCAGTGTCCCATCTATTAGACTCGGCTGGTTTACAGTAATTCTAAAGAGGTTTACAGCTCAAACTGAGGATTTGCAAGTGGGCACGCGCGCACCTGCACGATGGGTCTGGCGTCTTCGACCATTTTAGTACTGGGAGACTGGGAGGCGTGCCGGGGCCTCAAATTTCCATCACGGAGACATCTTTTCTGTTCTGCTTTTCTTCTGCTCGAAACGATCCGATTGTGTTTGTTTTGCTTTTCTTGTGCTCCAAAAACCAGACGTGTTTGTCTGTACGTGTTTTTTTCTTGTGCTTTTCTTGTGCTGGAAACGATCAGGCTGCTGTGCTTTCTTGTGCTCGAAACGATCTGATTTTTTGTGTTTTTTTTGTGCTTTTCTTGTGCTCCAGAAACCAAACGTGGTTGTATGTTTGTGCTTTTTTCTTGTGACAAGCGCTCGAAACGATCCGGCTGCTCGAAACGATCCGATTGTGCTTTTCTTGTGCTCGAAAACCAAACGTGTGTGTATGTGCGTGCTTTTTTCTTGTGCTCCATGATTTCAATTCACCTTGGATCAGGGCTGTTCTGGTGCTGGAAATCCGATTGTGTGTGTGTGTGTGTGTGTCCAACTCTGTTTCCAAGAGACGTGAGTGAGTTAAGCAGCAGGGGGCAGAGGGTCTCATTTCACGGCCTCTGCCAACGAAGCTCCGTGATATTGAGACAGGTAAACGTACCTGCAGTGGTCGGCATGGGCACATTTGTGCAGCTTGCGACT